CTCATAAGGGAACTATCATTGGAGAGTAGTTAATAAAATGACAAAACAAGCATTATTGAGACAGATAATTCACCAAGCATAAATACAAGTAGTCCTTGACTTACGACCACAATTGAGCCTAAAATTTCTGCTGCTAAGTGAGAAAGTTGTTAAGTAAATTTGCCCCCATTTTACAACCTTTCTTGCCATGGTTGTTCAGTGAATCCCTGCAGTTGTTAAGTTAGTAACACGGTTGTTACATCAATCTGGGCTTCCCCATTGACTTTGTTTGTCAGAAGGTCGCAAAAGGGGATCACATGATCCTGGGACACTGCAACCGTCATAAATGTGAACCAGTTGCCAAGCATCCAAATTCACGTGACCATGGGGAGGCTGCAATGGTTGTAAGTGTGAAAACCGGTCATAAGTCACTTTTTCCAGTGATGTTATAACGTCAGTCACTCAATGAACTGTTGTAGGTCGAGGACTACATGTAAGGCAGGAAGTCTTCCCTAGTGGTTATCATTTCATATCAACATAGAGACTGCTGACCTCTTACCCACCGGTAATCTGGAAGGGGGACTGGGCAAGCCTCTGCTGTACCCCTCTTAGCACCTCCTCTATCTCCTTCTGAATATTACAGACCACTTCTTCCATCAAGCCCACATCAGCAATGCCTTTCCAAAACATCAGCATCTCCTCTGCCACAGAAAGATAAACATTTTTAAAGAAAAAAACTGCAAAATTTCTACTGCTGGGACCAGCAAACTACTATACATTAACAAGCACCTTAAGGAATTGATTGCTACCTTGTTGATCCAACCCATAAGCATTACCTGTATTTCTGAACTAAAAGACGCCCACTCCAGATCAGTATTTCTCAACCTTGGCTAATTGAAGATGTGTGGACTGCAACCCCCAGAATTCCCCAGCCAGAGTTCTGAGAGTTGAAGTCAACACATCTTTATGTAATCATGGTTGAGAACACTGGTGTGGACTGTTCATCTATTGCTTACAAATTATGCTTGCAGCACATGTGTGTTCACAAACAGTTGCAACAGGCTGAAAATAGCTTTCAGGGCATGACAAGTAAAACACTAGAAGCCTTCTGTCTTATGGTGCAAATTATCAAAGCTGCATGCCACTGCTGATGAGTCAAGTTTAGGATCAGTTTTCCCCAAATTGGTACCCTACAGAAAGACTGAGGATGCAACGCCGAGTAATCCCAACCATCACCAGCAAAAGTTTGCTTCTCTTACTCCACTTCCTCTCCTTTCCAAAGTGTGCAGAGGAAATGAAAAAAGTATGCAAGCTATACAGAGAAATGGGAAGGACCAACCTGAAATCTCCTCTGGGTCTTTCTTGATTCCCTCATCAGTTGCCATAGTGACTGCTGCTGTCATAGCAGAATTCCATTCAATCCCTTCTTCTACACTTTCCTCAGACACTGCAATTTGAGTGATGCTTCCTGAATAAGAGAAGACCAGTCTGATACTCTGCTGCCACAGTAACTCCTCAACCACCCACACATCTAGATGATACATCGGGATAAGTTCTGTTAAGACAACTATTCATCTGTAAGTCTATGACTTGATATGACATAATGATAGGGTTTACACCCTACGTTAAGCCACACACCATAATTTCCAAATCACAATGGCTGGGACGTTCAAAAGACAGCTCACAGCACATTAGGTCTTAGCACTGAGTGTGAACTCAGTCCTTCCAGACCAGCCTTGACCATTTTACACTCTGTGTGAGGACGGCAGTTCCTCGGATTCTCAGCCAACATGTCTCAATACTAGCTGGACAGTTTGAGAGTTGCTCTTGGAAGGTGCCACCTTGGGCAAGTTAAGCAAGATTGCTTTGGGCTGATCAACATATCCTCAAGGTTGGCACAATAAAGCCATTGCTTTTGAAATGTTACGTAAATTCTGTAGATGCTGCAATGAATGAAGAAATGTTTGAGTGTAACTACCACATTGGTACACTTTACATCTGTGTCTTTCAATTCAATGCTGGCTGGGGAATTCTGAAAGTTTCAAGTCCACACATCTTAAAGTGGCCTAGGTTGAAAAGTCCCTGGTTTATACAAATTGCATTTTTCCTTTCAATATTCAAGTCACACCTGAATTGTACGAAATATTTGTCATGTGGCTTCACCTTATACATTAAACTTGTTATGCTCTAATTAATTGAAGTAGCTGAACTAAAAAAAAAACCTTTCTCACAAAAAGAAACAAAACATGGAATGAGAAGTAAGACAATACGTTCTTCAACACTGGGCACAATGCCCTTCTATCTCAAAGCCCTTTGGGTGTAGCCCAGGATTAAACCACATGATAAATATTTCACACAATCCAGGCATGTTGTCAGCCCTTTAAGGTAGACAAAGTCAAGAAATAGGAGTTCCTAGAAATCTTGGAAAGCACATAAATTCCGTGAGGATATTGTAACAGAATTTGTAACTCTATCCCCCACTCTATTTCAATTTACACTTATTCTCATCAAGGCAGAGTTTTAATAAGGGAGAGACCTACCATCAGCAGAAGTGGGAGTCTGTACCAGGGTTGTTTGTCCTGGTACTGGGGCCCTGGCACTGCTGAACAGGAGATCAAACTTGGTGCTTCGGCAGGTGTTGGTGCACACTTTGTCATGCTGATAGAAATCAATTTGCCCAGAGTCCATCATCTTTCTGCACAATGAATGGAAAACAGAACAGTCATCTGAGGGGGGATGAAAATCAGTTCAAAGAATTGTCTAAGAGGAAAATGTAAAAAGACAAAGCCTTTCAGCATGATGCATCAAACGATGCTCCGTCCCGTTTAGCTTATGCACAACCACAATTATATAATTCAATGGAAGGTTTAACATGAAGCGCGTGGTTCTTTATCGTAAAAAAAAAAAAAAAATCTATCCCAATTTATCCGGCAATATGGAAAGGATTAACAACTACAATTTACGGAATCCTCCAATGTGGCCCTTATTATTCATTGGAGGCTGTTCCAGCCCAAAGATTGTGGGTAATAAAATCAGGGATAATGAGGGTATTACAAATATACTTTACATCAGGGCAAAACACCTCCACCATTTTGTGCATGTTACACACCCAGAAAAATTCTCCAAAAGTTCTCTCCTGAATAGAGCCACATGCCAATCCTTTTACCATTGATAATGTCTAATTTGTATTACCTGCCTTAAGACACTTGAAACCGCAGTTAAGGAAGCCATGAATAACAGGATTCACTTATAAAAAGTCCACGACCTCCGAACAGTCTCTTTGTGAAAGTTCTAGGAGACCCCCCCCAAAAGGTACTTACAAGTCCTATTGGATGCATCCTTCTGCAGTCACATAATTGCATTTTGGGCACTTGTCAACTAGTTCACATTTATGGCCATTTGCAGTGTTCTGCAGTCACATGTCTTCAATTTATGATGTATATTTTTTTTGCTGGAAACTGGCACTTCCAATTTCCAGCAAAAAATGCCCATTGCAAACAATGGGGTCAATGACTGCAGTGTTCATTTAGTGATCATGGTGATTCATTTAATGGCCACCATAAAAAAATATTGTAAAATCATGTGATGAACCACCGAACCACCGGCACGACTTACAACCTATTTCCAAGCTCAATTACGGTGGTAAGTCAAGGACTACCTGTAGATCAGAGGTCTCCAAACTTGGCAACTTTAAGACTTGTGGACTTCAACTCTCAGAATTCTCCAGCCAGCTATGCTTGAAGTCCATAAATTGAAGCCCATAAGTCTTAAAGTTGCCAAGTTTGGAGACCTCTGATCTACAGGTAGTCCTTGACTTACCACCGTAATTGAGCTTGGAAATAGGTTGTAAGTCGTGCCGGTGGTTCGGTGGTTCATCACATGATTTTACAATATTTTTTTATGGTGGCCATTAAATGAATCACCATGATCACTAAATGAACACTGCAGTCATTGACCCCATTGTTTGCAATGGGCATTTTTTGCTGGAAATTGGAAGTGCCAGTTTCCAGCAAAAAAAATATACATCATAAATTGAAGACATGTGACTGCAGAACACTGCAAATGGCCATAAATGTGAACTAGTTGACAAGTGCCCAAAATGCAATTATGTGACTGCAGAAGGATGCATCCAATAGGACTTGTAAGTACCTTTTGGGGGGGGTCTCCTAGAACTTTCACAAAGAGACTGTTCGGAGGTCGTGGACTTTTTATAAGTGAATCCTGTTATTCATGGCTTCCTTAACTGCGGTTTCAAGTGTCTTAAGGCAGGTAATACAAATTAGACATTATCAATGGTAAAAGGATTGGCATGTGGCTCTATTCAGGAGAGAACTTTTGGAGAATTTTTCTGGGTGTGTAACATGCACAAAATGGTGGAGGTGTTTTGCCCTGATGTAAAGTATATTTGTAATACCCTCATTATCCCTGATTTTATTACCCACAATCTTTGGGCTGGAACAGCCTCCAATGAATAATAAGGGCCACATTGGAGGATTCCGTAAATTGTAGTTGTTAATCCTTTCCATATTGCCGGATAAATTGGGATAGATTTTTTTTTTTTTTTTACGATAAAGAACCACGCGCTTCATGTTAAACCTTCCATTGAATTATATAATTGTGGTTGTGCATAAGCTAAACGGGACGGAGCATCGTTTGATGCATCATGCTCAAAGGCTTTGTCTTTTTACATTTTCCTCTTAGACAATTCTTTGAACTGATTTTCATCCCCCCTCAGATGACTGTTCTGTTTTCCATTCATTGTGCAGAAAGATGATGGACTCTGGGCAAATTGATTTCTATCAGCATGACAAAGTGTGCACCAACACCTGCCGAAGCACCAAGTTTGATCTCCTGTTCAGCAGTGCCAGGGCCCCAGTACCAGGACAAACAACCCTGGTACAGACTCCCACTTCTGCTGATGGTAGGTCTCTCCCTTATTAAAACTCTGCCTTGATGAGAATAAGTGTAAATTGAAATAGAGTGGGGGATAGAGTTACAAATTCTGTTACAATATCCTCACTAAATTTATGTGCTTTCCAAGATTTCTAGGAACTCCTATTTCTTGACTTTGTCTACCTTAAAGGGCTGACAACATGCCTGGATTGTGTGAAATATTTATCATGTGGTTTAATCCTGGGCTACACCCAAAGGGCTTTGAGATAGAAGGGCATTGTGCCCAGTGTTGAAGAACGTATTGTCTTACTTCTCATTCCATGTTTTGTTTCTTTTTGTGAGAAAGGTTTTTTTTTTAGTTCAGCTACTTCAATTAATTAGAGCATAACAAGTTTAATGTATAAGGTGAAGCCACATGACAAATATTTCGTACAATTCAGGTGTGACTTGAATATTGAAAGGAAAAATGCAATTTGTATAAACCAGGGACTTTTCAACCTAGGCCACTTTAAGATGTGTGGACTTGAAACTTTCAGAATTCCCCAGCCAGCATTGAATTGAAAGACACAGATGTAAAGTGTACCAATGTGGTAGTTACACTCAAACATTTCTTCATTCATTGCAGCATCTACAGAATTTACGTAACATTTCAAAAGCAATGGCTTTATTGTGCCAACCTTGAGGATATGTTGATCAGCCCAAAGCAATCTTGCTTAACTTGCCCAAGGTGGCACCTTCCAAGAGCAACTCTCAAACTGTCCAGCTAGTATTGAGACATGTTGGCTGAGAATCCGAGGAACTGCCGTCCTCACACAGAGTGTAAAATGGTCAAGGCTGGTCTGGAAGGACTGAGTTCACACTCAGTGCTAAGACCTAATGTGCTGTGAGCTGTCTCTTGAACGTCCCAGCCATTGTGATTTGGAAATTATGGTGTGTGGCTTAGCGTAGGGTGTAAACCCTATCATTATGTCATATCAAGTCATAGACTTACAGATGAATAGTTGTCTTAACAGAACTTATCCCGATGTATCATCTAGATGTGTGGGTGGTTGAGGAGTTACTGTGGCAGCAGAGTATCAGACTGGTCTTCTCTTATTCAGGAAGCATCACTCAAATTGCAGTGTCTGAGGAAAGTGTAGAAGAAGGGATTGAATGGAATTCTGCTATGACAGCAGCAGTCACTATGGCAACTGATGAGGGAATCAAGAAAGACCCAGAGGAGATTTCAGGTTGGTCCTTCCCATTTCTCTGTATAGCTTGCATACTTTTTTCATTTCCTCTGCACACTTTGGAAAGGAGAGGAAGTGGAGTAAGAGAAGCAAACTTTTGCTGGTGATGGTTGGGATTACTCGGCGTTGCATCCTCAGTCTTTCTGTAGGGTACCAATTTGGGGAAAACTGATCCTAAACTTGACTCATCAGCAGTGGCATGCAGCTTTGATAATTTGCACCATAAGACAGAAGGCTTCTAGTGTTTTACTTGTCATGCCCTGAAAGCTATTTTCAGCCTGTTGCAACTGTTTGTGAACACACATGTGCTGCAAGCATAATTTGTAAGCAATAGATGAACAGTCCACACCAGTGTTCTCAACCATGATTACATAAAGATGTGTTGACTTCAACTCTCAGAACTCTGGCTGGGGAATTCTGGGGGTTGCAGTCCACACATCTTCAATTAGCCAAGGTTGAGAAATACTGATCTGGAGTGGGCGTCTTTTAGTTCAGAAATACAGGTAATGCTTATGGGTTGGATCAACAAGGTAGCAATCAATTCCTTAAGGTGCTTGTTAATGTATAGTAGTTTGCTGGTCCCAGCAGTAGAAATTTTGCAGTTTTTTTCTTTAAAAATGTTTATCTTTCTGTGGCAGAGGAGATGCTGATGTTTTGGAAAGGCATTGCTGATGTGGGCTTGATGGAAGAAGTGGTCTGTAATATTCAGAAGGAGATAGAGGAGGTGCTAAGAGGGGTACAGCAGAGGCTTGCCCAGTCCCCCTTCCAGATTACCGGTGGGTAAGAGGTCAGCAGTCTCTATGTTGATATGAAATGATAACCACTAGGGAAGACTTCCTGCCTTACATGTAGTCCTCGACTTACAACAGTTCATTGAGTGACTGACGTTATAACATCACTGGAAAAAGTGACTTATGACCGGTTTTCACACTTACAACCATTGCAGCCTCCCCATGGTCACGTGAATTTGGATGCTTGGCAACTGGTTCACATTTATGACGGTTGCAGTGTCCCAGGATCATGTGATCCCCTTTTGCGACCTTCTGACAAACAAAGTCAATGGGGAAGCCCAGATTGATGTAACAACCGTGTTACTAACTTAACAACTGCAGGGATTCACTGAACAACCATGGCAAGAAAGGTTGTAAAATGGGGGCAAATTTACTTAACAACTTTCTCACTTAGCAGCAGAAATTTTAGGCTCAATTGTGGTCGTAAGTCAAGGACTACTTGTATTTATGCTTGGTGAATTATCTGTCTCAATAATGCTTGTTTTGTCATTTTATTAACTACTCTCCAATGATAGTTCCCTTATGAG